TGAGAAGAAAAACAACGGCTTCTAGGTAACAGTACAGACTCAGATATAGATGTGTGTTTTCAATCTGTGATGACTACTTCAATATACCAAAACACGCTAGGTTTATGTGAGTATCTGACTTTTTAGACGTGAGCTACCACTGTAAAGCATGTGGCTTATGTCAAACATTGTTTATAAATAAAAAAAAGTTTGACATAGCAATGAAAAGTACATATCAGGAGTGGAGATGATATCTCTATCTCTGTTCGGTAATTCCATAGTTTTCGAACACACCACAAGATTACGTACAAACATAACCGTTAGTACACTGCACCCCACGAAATCTGCGTTGTCATGGATAAAGTCTATTCAAATTGCATTTGTATTTTATAATGTTGGGGTAAGAGTTCTCAGTCACATAATACTTTTTAAAGCACAGTTAAAAGCTAACAGATTTTAAATATTTTGCAATAGTTTAAAAATTCCAACTATAATTATGCTAATTATGATATTTAGTTTATATATATATATATATATATATTTGTGGTTGAGTTTATCAATTTGGGAAAAGCTGATTGTCAGTACGCATAATACTTGCACTTATTTCCCAGAATGTACATGTACATATTATCTTACTAGTCGTTGCTTAGCAACCTGTTTTCTTCCTGATTGGGTAGCGAAGTAATGTATTTTTAGTTGTTTTTCTCCATTGAGCCTTGTGTCACGTAACACATTTTAATTTATTAAATAAAACGTTTTAGCGTTTATTGTTGAAGCGAATTATCAGCTAGTTATGTACTGAATAATTTGCAGCCTTAGCATAACTCGTCAATTGTTCGTGGCTTCTCTATATTCTTAAACAAATTAGTACATAGCCTCGTGCACAATTAACGTTGGCAACATCAGACACGCAAGTTACAGTCCAAATACACGTATCACTTAGAAAATTGATGCAAATTTTTAAATTTTTTATAGATCATGATGACTGAGAGCCTTTTTTTGAAATACAACTTTTGCCAAATACAAAAACTTAACCAAAGGTTCCATCTGGGAATTAAAACAAAACATAATTATATCAAACATATTAGATTGGTTATTTTTAAATGCTTACATTTCAAGTTCACTTCAACAAGTGATCCCAATTTTATCCCTAACTTTTATACGATTTCAACACTGATAAAATGGCTTTACAATATCAATGGGGAGTACTAAAATCCATTAAAAGAATCTAGAAAATGACTGTTTTGAGCTTGCTTTAATTCACAACGTTTATTGATTGTAATAAGACATACAAACGAATTGTTTTTGTGTCTACATGTTGTGAATAAAAATATGATATGTTTGAAATAAAAATGGAATGTTATTTTTTCTTTAAATAAGAGTTTCACATAAAACCTGAGATTAATCTCACAAAACATGAACCATTATTTTTACTTTGAACCTGAGGTTAGTGATTCTATACAAAGTCAATTAATTTCACTTTTTATACAATATTAGTGTCACAGGAAATCTGCTTTACTGTCATGGTACAAGGGAAATTAATCTCACTCTAAATATTAGTGTTACATTAATATAAGGACTAGAAATTTAACTTTAAATCTGAAGTGTCAAACAACCTAGTTCATTAATTACACTATAACTCTAAGTTACTATCACAGAAAATGGACTTTTAATTTATGCGAAAACATGAACTATTAATATTATTTTAAATCTAAAGTTCATTTCAGAATTAATTTCACCTAATTTTGAGGTTGTGTCACACAAAATGGACTGTAATTATTTTCCTAAATCTAAATACATGGAATATTAATGTTACCTTATATCTGAAGTGTCACATAACATGGATATCTTATTTTTTACTTAAAAATCTGAAGTTAGTGTCATAAAACATTGATCATTAACTTCAATTAATTTGAGGATATCATCACAATACATGGGCCTTAAATTGAATTCTAAATCAGAATTTAGTGTTCACTTAAAATGATCAATTTCATTTTAAAGCTGATGTTAGTGTCACAAAAGTGTAATATTAACTTGACTTCAAATCAGGCTCAATTTGTAAATTAATGAACATTATTAGTGGGTGAATGGGAGATATATATTAATCAAAATATAAAAGTGAGTATAAAATGTCTAAGTTAGGTGACTTATAGTTAATCTTGGACATGACATGTAAAATACAGCATTGTGCAATTATAATGATAACAATAAAAAAGATAAAAATAAACATTACCATCCAAAACAAACATAGGCAAATACATAATGGAAGACAAAGGTAGTGGATATAATGTATAAAATGGAAGTAAGATAACAATGTGATAATGAATAAATATGAAGGAATAAGCACCAATATTGCAATTAATATAAAGGTGGCAATGCATAAAAACAAGCAATAAACATGACAACAAACACCAGCATACCACAATAAAAAAGAACAACATAAATCAAGTTAGACAATAAATAATAATGTGCAATACAATTAAGATTTAACAATTAACACCAAAGTGGCAGTAAGCAACAATACAGAAAAGGTAACAATGATGCAATACATAACATTTAGGCACAAAAACAATGTTGCTTTGAATATAAATATGGTAAAAGAAGTACTTTAACAATAAAAACCACCAGACAATGCACACTAACTTGACAATCAGTATCAATTAGACAATAAATAATATTGAAACACTGAAATTATTGAAGCAATTAATAACAATAAAGAACAATGAGGTAATAAAAACTTGGAAAGAAATAATAATGTAATAGTAAAAGTGAATGAGCAATAAGTAGTTATATGATAGTAAAGGACAATGTAGTAATAAATAACAATGAAGCAATGAAAGGTAATGACATTTAAAATGGCAATGTAGCAATAAGTAACAATGGGGAAATAATCAATACTGTGATCAAAAAATAATGTGACAACACACATACCAATGTGGAAATAAACAACAATATGGAAAAAATCATCACATGTAAAAAATAAAACTGTAGCAATAAACACTGCAGTGGCTATAGTTAACAATGCACCAATAATTAATAGTGTGAATAAATACTTTTAAAATAAATAATAATGTGACAATAAATATGCATTTAGGAAAACAGAAGTAAAACAATTAAATTATTACATAAAACTGTGGTTTCTTGCAGTTATTGAAACACAGAAAAAAAGACACCAAAACTAGCAGTGTAAAATCATCGTATGAAAAGTTTGTGCCAAGTTAGAACACTAAACAATGTCTTTAATCACAATAACTATATTTTATATCCTTCTGATAATACTATGATTATAATAGCTTTTCTAAATATATTGTCAAATTAACATAATTTTCAGTCAAGAAATTACATTTTATTATTAATGAATTTGTTTACGAAATTAGCTAGAAATCTAAACTTGCACTCCATATTGTGATTTATTTTTGAATAATCATTAAAAACACCAATTACAAAATAATCCTTTAGATATGGTATGACACGTACTGTATTGAACTGTAGCAGTGTTTTCAGAGAAAACATACAAATGTATTGTTCACCAAGTACTTTAATCTATGTTATTACTCTTTTTGGATTTTTCGGTGCACAATTACCAACAATAATTTGGAGTGAGTGTCAATCATACATCAGCATCATTTGGATTGTATTTTCATTTATATAACTTTGTTCCTGCAGCAATCAAACTGAAGTTGGTGAAAGTTTTCAGGAGCTATATTTTATACATAAATGAATGAATAAAATTCAACGAATTCTTAAAACCTAATGAACTCAATTATTTTTAATAACTTAGTTTTACATCAAGAACAATTTAATTGTTGTATCATTGCAATTAAAGATTCAGCCTGTATATGAATGAAATTGGATAGTGCTGATCAACATGGACCTGTCAACTCACTCTTACAAGAACTTGCTGTTGTTTAATAACAAGCAAAACAAAACAAAATTTTATTTAAAATGTACAACCAAGGGAGCTCAGAAAATGACTGCAGTTATAACCTATGCTTAACAATGATTTTAACCTGGTCAACCTACTACAACTCTATTCCATACTTAGCTAGCAATAAAGTCAAGTGACAAATGTCACCAGACTAAGCACATATGTGTGTATATATTTCATATAATCAGAATATCTGAATGATTTTAATATTATAGAGCATGTACTGTGAAAAACAAACACAGTAACCTTAAATTTTCCTTTACTGCTCATATTGTTGGTTCTCACTAAAAGTTACTTTACTGAGGTTGATTTGTTAATCAAATAAGTAAAATGCAATATAATTTGTAAATTTGTAAAAAAAACCTAGTGCAGACCTCTATTATGAAAAATAACTTTTAGAAACAATTAAGAGCATGACATATTATTTCACGATTCATCATGCATGTTTTATGTACAAGTATTTCCCGATCAATAATGAATTGTGCATGCATATTAAGTCTTGTAATGTGCTTACGTCAATTTCGAATTTAAATGAGTCACTCTCTTATTATTTTACAAACATATTCTTTTTAATGGTTTACCAGTCAGATTTCATCTTTCTATGATAAAGTACAAATTGAACCATGTTTTCCAGTACAAGTATGTTGCTAAGACTTCAATTTACCACGATGATGTTTACAGTTTCCACTTACCATTGTACATATAGTCTGCTGAATAACAATGGATAATTCTGATAGTATGTTAGATGTTATCCAAACACCTAAAGTATTTTAAGTTATTAGTGATCAATAAAGGAATATTACATCAAAATCACCATTGATTCTATCTTAATGATAACAGTCTTAAGTAGCTATATTATCCTAAGAATATACAGTGTGTTGTATTAATAACTAAAATTGAAATTATTTGCTTAATACAGACACAACTTAGCTTATGTATGTAACTATTATTTTGAGTCAAGGTCAATATATTACGTAGCAAGTAATTTCAAAATCTGACATTTCTATCAAATCTTTTTTTTAATACCAACTGTTACTCTTAAGAGACACTGCTAACACTTAGTACATAGTATTATAATGAAACATAGCCTTACCTCATTTAGCTGAGAAATTATTTTATTAAATGCTGTTAACCACAGATCCTTTGGTTTTGACATGATTTCTCTATCAGTTCTAGTATCAGTCTCTATAAATGATAGCTGATTTATTACATCTTGCTCTTTTTTTTCTTCATGTTCCAGAGACACTTCATCTGGCTTCACAAGTTGGTCTTCAGTTCTTTCATAAAACTGTTCTGGAATGGAAGGTTGTTCAACAGAGCTCCACTGTTCCTGAGAAGGAGAATCACTTTCTTCAGTTTCAAATGATTGAATCTCTGGATCCCAAGAAAGCTGACATAAATTATGCATTACTTCCTGCCATTTCTCAGTACTATCTGCACTGTCTTGTTTGTAGGCATCCATACTGCCAGGAGTGTTGGAATCTTGTTGACAGTCTTTCTCAGATGATTCATACATGTCATTCAACATTTTCTGGTCAAACTTTTGTCGTTGCTCCATACTGCTTCTGATGCCTAAATCACTGTCAGGAGTGTTGGAATCTTGTTGACAGTCATTCTGAGATGATTCATACATATCATTTAACATTTTCTGGTCAAACTCTTCTTCTGGCTCCAAACTGCTTCTTATGTCTAAATCACTGTCGGGAGTGTTAGAATCTTGTTGACAGTTATTCTGAGATGGTTCATACATGTCATTTAACATTTTCTGATCAAACACTTTTTGTTGTTCCAAACTGCTTCTGATGTCTAAATCTTCAGGTAAACTCGGAGTTACTTCAATTACTTCTCCATCATACCTATTTTCACAGTCATGGTACATAAGTTGGTCATTTGTATCAAATGAAAAACTTTGATCACTCTCATATTCAAGGCTGTTACTGTAGCCAAACTTTCCACACCATTGTGTTACATAAGATGATCTGTTGAAAGAAACAGAACAAGAAATTAGTAAATTAATCTATGAGACATTTGTTTTCCTTTTTATTAGCTATATTTTTGTGCACCAGCAATACCAAGCGTGGGGGTGCCTATACCCAATTCTATTTTATTTTTCATCAGGATCTCTACCAGCCTACCCTCAAATTAAAATTCCTTTAGGCAGAATTAGAGTAAATTAATCTTTGAGACCTGAAGTAAAGTCAAATATATCTATTGAAAGAGTTTGACTTCCTGAGTCCAAAACTGTAATTATATCTCAAATCGGTCAAGAAATAACGGAGTTATGAGCTACAAGTTTGTATTTCAAAAACTCAGCCATTCTATGAGCTGCTATTGCTATGGCTAAAAATAAAAAAACAAGTTATAAGAAAAACTAAAAGCCTAAATAAGATGTATTCATACAAAAATAATATTTCCCATTTATTTTATCACACACATACTGTCTAGAACACCATTAACATATCCACAAGACATTGTTTCTAACTATATATATATGTATATGGTGGGACAAAAGTGAAAAATGTCACAAACTTCTTACACATTTACATTCAAAATTTAATTAAACAAGATTATTAGCAATGTCTATCAATACATATGGCATCAAAACAAAACATATAATTCACATTTTAATATTAGATAAGTTTTAATTTCTTACTTTCACAAGAAAATATTTAAACAAATTCTCAATCTTCACTTCTCTGTGTCATGTGACACTTCTTCACTCTGAATTGCCCACTTTAGAATTCCTTTCTACCCTGATATGATCTTCTGAATTTGGCTCAAGTTACATACTTATATTACAAATACTGCTTAATCACAAGTAAATATATAGCCTCCAACCTTCTTGTTTAACTGAGATATAAACCGAAAAGTCAAACTTACATGTCGCACCCTTTTATCACATCCTGTACTTCTAAAAAATGTCAATAATTTTCTATGAAATTTGCTGTTGGATTATGTATAACCCATAGAAAGAGAATATATTAGTTTACTGAATTTCCTATAAAGCTGGCTTGTTGTGAAGATAATTTTTGAATTATTCAGCCTACAGTTTCATTGTTTGCTATCATCGAGACCACCTTGGCCAGTTAATGGAATTATTTTTACCCACTTATAATTAAACTGACTTTCTAACTAAACTGTAACAGTTTTAGAACACTGTATTTCTTGTATATGTTAATGTTTTGTGTTCTAAGTTATATAATTGAAATAAATAAAAATTACCTTATGTACCAACAACCTTACAAAAGTTAACATTTTCCTTACCTGAAAATACATTTCCAATAGATAATTAATTATCTCTCTGCACACAATAGCTATTCCTCATGCACCTGCCTTTTAGATTTTGCTCATGGCACTAGCCTCGAGCTATCTCCCACCTAAGACATGTTTTAACATGAACTATGCTAGTGTGTGATGTAATTATCACGAGAAAATAGCCTTCTACCAATAAGAGGTTGACACATACTCCATACCCAGTAAATACCCATAAGCACTTGCATTTGATATTAACTTCATTCTTAGATGAGGCAAGAATGATGTCCACCAGTAGTGGAGAGGAAGGGTGAGATGATATGAAGAGAGGTAGGTATCTATTGGAAATTATTTTCAGGGAACGAAAATGTTAACTTCTGAAACGATATCTTTACACAGTAACTAAAAACCCATATTGATGTGGTGAAAAGGCCCATGCAATTGAAAAAACCCAAATGAGTTCTTTCCAGGGAATTCAACTGAAGGGAAGCCCATGGAATGTGACACTCTACAGTGGGAGTTTACTAGAGGGGCAACACTTGTGGGATATTGCATCTATCTCATGCAGGGTATACTCCCAAATAAGAGTATGAAAGGGATGTGTGGAAAAGTGCATGACCAACCAAGCATTTGCAAACAACTGGTTGGTTGAACATGTGATGTAGATTGGCTAGGGCAAAGATCAGACCATACAGTTAGGTATGTGTTCTGTTGTATCATTTACTCACCATGCATTACAGGATTAGGGACGAAGGTCTCTTCCTGTTATAGAAGGAGAACACTTTTCGCCATCTGGCTGGCTAAACCACTGGGAAATTAACATGTTGTATAATAGGAGTGACCTGCACTACACTGACATGGACACCCCTGCACTACTTCCTACTGCATTGTGCTGCCACTCAGACTCTTTCTGGAGGAAGTGCATAGCTGGTGAGGAACTTTCCAAGTTGACCATCCAAGCAGCTAGGAACCAGTAAGTAGCAAAGGTCTCCCATGCTCCACTCAACAATCCAAAAGGAAAGAATTCACATTGAGGACAGATGCCAAGATCTGATTGTACATAATCACCTCAAAGGTCTTTTACTGGAAAAAGTGCAATGGGAAACCTAATTTCAAAAGCTGGCATGGAAGTGGATATACACTCTCCCTGGTGCTGCATTTTTCCATGATAGTCCATGGAAGGTACAGTGTGAAATGGACAATGACCACTGTAGTCTTGAGGTCTTGAGGAAAACCCCATCTCAACAGTGGGCACATTTGGAGCCACGAGGGATGGGTTTAATAATTTCAATTACCCCTGAATCGATGCAGAGTTAGGGAAGTAAGTATACACTGTAAGGTAATGCTCACCACTGGGTGTGTTTCAAGAAGCAAATTGTGTAAGTTTAGAAACTGGTAAGGAAGTAAAAGAGGCACTTATCCATCAGATGGTAAGTAGACTGGAGAGTGACAAATGGAGGTAGGTAATATCTTGACAGAGACAAAACTACTATATGATTGAGGTAATTGGAGATGAAGGTGTTGGGCATAGTCCACATTCCAGCCTGGAAGATCTCATCCATAGGTCGTCAAAAGTGAAAGGTCAAGTGGCAGATTTGAAGTAATGAGACATCATACAGTCTGTGAGTAGCTTCATCCAGTGAAAAACATGCAATCTGGAAGAGTTGAGAAATCCACCTGGTAAGCATAAAGGATGAGAGATCCCTGGTAGAAGAGAGGTCCCATGGCAAGAAGAAAGGAAGGTAAGAACCCTGAAATGTATCTGTGCATGCCAAGTAACACCTAACTCATTGAACTGGACACAAAAGATGATTACAATTCAGTACAATCTTAGAGAGCTGGGAAATCAATGAAAGAGAAATGAGAAAGAGAGAAGTAATGATCTCCCTCCAAAGCTGCCCATGTCATAAGTAGAAACAAGTAGTCAAGTGACAAGGTCAAGAAAGATCTGTGAAATAAAGTATGAGAGGCATGCAAGGCATAAAAATCAGATCTGCAATGACTACAAGCAAGAAGGAGAATGAAACATGTTTTGAGAGAGGTGGTATAATGAGTAAGTGGCCATGGTTCAAACACAGCCTGGATAAGACAGTACAGAACCACATTAAGGTTGCAGTCAGGCAAATGAATCAGATGATGAGGATAATGAATGAGGAAGAACCAGAACAAGGTGGAAAGAATGGGGGAGGAAAAAAGAGAACCATAGCAAAAAAGTCAAAAAGTAGTCCACAAGGCCACCTGATGTCCTGCTATCGTAGAAACCAACAATCCATGGTCAAACAACTAGTTAAAGAAGGCCTAAAGGTGGGCAATGGTAGGGTGGCCTGGTGGGATAAAGGGGTGAATGGACCAACAGTGTAAAACACACCACTTTCATTGATAGAGAGAGAGAAGAAAGATGACAAACAGGATAGAAGAAGGGCTATATATTCAGAAAAACCTGACTGAAAAGCAAGAGACCAGACAGAACCCACATGTAAAAACAAAGGGATGACACTTCCTGGTGAAAGTTGTAGCTAAGTGTACACATACAGAAAGTTACGAGAACAGTTCTGGCTGAGACCATCCACACAGAGATACTTGGGACCAGAAGAGGGAAAGTTTGGTATTGAGAAGAGTGGCAAAGGCATCGATCATTGGTATGCCCAAATGGGAACAGATCTAATGAAAGACCAGAGGATAAACCAACTAATCTGTTAGAAGAATCCTGTCCGGTCAAAAGAGAGATGATCTGTCACTAAGTTCAAAACCCCTGTGACATGGCAGGCAGGTAAACAAACATGATACGAGTAAATCCAAAACATGAAAGTTAATGTGCAGAAGCAATGGTTACTGGGGTGTGTCCCACCCAGATATGGGAAATAACAGTACAATTGCCTAGTGAATCATGACCAAGCCTGATGGGTGGCTAAGAGTTCCAGAACACTAATGTGGAAAGTTTGCTTCATGAGATCAAACCCCTGAGGCCATGGAGTCATCCAGAAATGCATCACACCTTGTAAGAGATGTGTCATTGAAGAGATGGAGATACAGACATGGAGTGGTAGTGGAAGGCTAACTGTAGAATTTGCATGATCCAACCACCAAGACAGATCCTCAAGAAAAGAAAATGGCAACATACAAAAGTGAGCAAAGAATTGTGGGAGATATTTCACTGGTCAGTCAAAGTTCAATGAAGAAGCCTCATGAGAGCATAGTATAAAAGGACAAGATGTTTCAGAGACACGAGAATTCCCTCCAAAAAAGACAGAAGAACCTCATGTTCAGGAACTATAGAAAAGGCAAGAGTCAAGGTGATTAAATGCTCCAGGTCTCCCTGATGAATGGAGGGAAGTTGAGCCAGAGAGAACTGTAAAAGACTCCAAGGTGGACCATATATTGGGTACGAGTGAGGAACAACATTGAAGTTGACCAGCCAACCCAGATGAGTAGCTTCTTGGAGGAGATTGATGTGGCCAAGAAAAAGGCCTCCTGAAAAGAAGCAAGGATAAGCCAGTCACCCACGTAATAATGGAAATGAAGTCCAAGACTATGGAAACGACAAGCAAATTCTCTCATGACTAGGTAGAATATGTAAGGAGACAAAACGATGTTGAAAAGAGAAAGCTTGAAACTGGTACACCTGATCCTGAGGAATGAATTGAAGAAAATATTGTACGGACTAGAGAGTTGGAACACATAGAAAGGCATCTGAGACATCGACCTTAGTCATTCATAGTCCAGGGAAAAAAGATGAATGGAAAGGAAGAATCCTCTTCATCTTGAACTGTGGAACCACTAGATAAAGGTTGAAAGAAGAAATGTCAATGATGGGAAGAGTATGATATACAAGAAGGTCCCTACAACAGAGAAACCAAGAAAGCAGGGGCAAAACAGAAGATGAAATCCTGTTCAAGGTACTGAAATGTACGAACTATAAATCTCCTGAAAAACTATCAGGATCACGGTGTAGGGCTTCAGAGAGGAGATGAAGAGAGGTAAGAAAAAAAGGCAAAGATGTGAAAATTGACCATTAAAGAGAGTTATTGCAGATAGGGGTCTGCCCTTTAAGAGGGAGAAAGGGACACCAGGGATTGAGAATCCAAGAATAGAAAAGGAGAACAGCCATAAGCTGTGCAAAGGAATCCTGGAATCAAGGAAGATAAGGCATTTGAGAGCATGAATGAGGCTAATTCAGAAACATGTCACCATGTACATGTATGTCTGGAAAAGGAAGGAAAAACAAATAATCCTCAGCCTGAGAGGCATGTAGTATGCAACAGGAAGAATCAAAAGACATATGTGAAAGAGTAAGTTTTGAGCAAACCTGAGAAATCAAATCCACAAAGATATTTGGACAAAGAAAATTGTCCTCTACAGGTAAAGAGAATACTAGTGCAAGCCCAGGAGGTAGAAAGAGCCACTCAAAGTTGGGCTTAGAAAGGGGGAATGCACTTCTGATGTAGGACAGAGAAATGAGACAATGAAGACTAAACGAACCCATGACACATTGACAATGGTATTAATATTATCCACAATCAAGTAGCTTCTAGTGGCCATATACTAAGCAGGGCCAGTGTGAGTAGTATCACCAGAACCTTAATAAAGAGTAGTATTCACCATCACACGAGAATGCATTGTTATTAAAGGAATTCTCAAGATCAAATTTTTTTTTGTACACAATAACTGAAAGGTGATGTAGGTTGAAGTAAAATATAATAAAATGGATGGATGTTAACAATGGAATACAGGTAACACAAACCTCACTACACTGAACAATGTTTACATTTCAATGAATGCATCCATTCACCAACAATACATAGTATATTTATAAGGTCTATTCAGTGTTGTTAAAACAAGAAAAGTATATTACAGAATACAACAAATTCTATCATGTAAGTTTTACTAAGTAATTTTCAAGCAAAAAGAAATACAAGATAATGTTAGTAAGTTTGAGTTTAGCAACTAGGGGATTGTTTACTCTATTTTGTAATAGAGAAGTGTTGAAAGTACTTTTTTTTAGTATCTTTTTAAGAATGGGGAAAAAATCTCAAAAATTGTTCAAAATATGGGCTATCTTATGATATAACAAAAATATTTTTGTACAGATACATATAGATTCAAACTAACTAATTCCCAGACTAAATGAAAAAAAAGAACAAAAAGTTTTGATAACAAAAATTGAAAACATTCACAACGACATTGTAGGCCTAGTTTAACTAATGGTTATGAAAATATTACACACACACACAAAAATTAAAAATAAGACTGCTCGTAAATTTTGATTTAAAATTAAAGCAGTTGATTCACATTTAATTAGAGGATTTGTAAAGAGACAGTCTACACAAAGTGTTTATATAAAATCAAGCACCAACATATTCTTACCCAGTGTTTGAGCATGGTGATTTCTATTTATCATTCTGTCCTGCTTCAAGTTCTAACTATGAGACTTAAGCCTATAGTGATACATATTAAAGCAAAGCTTCTCTGTATTTAAATTGTACAAGGCAAACAACACATAAAAAAGATTGCAAAATTTAAAAAACATGTGAATTACAAACATTATTTTGATTATGCATTACCTTTCTCTTTCGAGATATTTTTCTGGAGGTCTGCTATTATAATACATTAATTCTGAGTCTGAGTCACTTTCTTTCATCCAAGCATCACCATCTTTTGGATGATAAACTTTATCATCATAAATCTTTTCATTACAGTGATCAAGCTCAAAAGAAGTGTCCTGATCCACTAATAATTCATCATACTGGAAAGTTCTATTGCTTAGATTTGAAGCACCACCAAAATGTGAAGCTAAATACTTAGGGTAGTCCACAGAGGCACTTGGGTGTTGGTTGGCAGAATATCCTACATCACTAGTGTAGTCACTGTCCTCTGATACACAAGCTGAAAAGAAACATTCAATAAAATTTTCAGTAGGATATCATCCATCACTAGTGTAGTCACTGTCCTCTGATACATAAGCTGAAAAGGGTTTATGAAAGGGTTAATGCTAACACAAAGCTTAATAATCCCTTCTGGACCAGAGGGGTTTAATTATATCCATTGACTTTCTTTTTCTTAAAGTCAAATACTTATACAAATTGTATGAAACTTAGTACACTTACTAAAGAGCATTTACTTTTGGCTTTAAAAAATTGTTTTAATTTTAGTTTTCCTCTCAATTTTTATATTGTGAACTTTCTAAAATTTTGTTGTGGGACACTATTCTTAAAAAACATTAAAAACACTTCTTTTCATCATAGAATCTCAATTTTTATGTTGAGGATCAAAATGTTGTATTTTATATACATATACTTGATTGATATTCATTAATATATTTCTTTCGATTCTATATTTTGCCAATTGGAGTAATTACCAACTCAGCCATGCATCATAAAAAACACAGTAAAAACTTACAGAGATTTATTTATGACTTACCACAACTTTTCACAATGGCTTCAGCATTACCTTTGTTAGGATATGTATCATGATTTGGCCTAAAAATACTTTTGGTTGGAATCAATTTATAGCCAATTAATATACTTTCTTTCAATAAATAATAAGTTACTTCATTTATGTAAATTGTTGGAAGAAGATACACTTAACAATACTATTTAATAAATAAGAATTTGAGTTATCAGAATAGTTTTTGTCACCTACAGCACTCGCTAAACTTAACTAAGCTTGCTGATACTTGCTAGAGAAGTAAATTACATAGACTTAAAACAGGTATAAAAAAAACTTAGTAACGAAAGAGATATCTATATAAACAAACTACAGAAAATTCCCAGATCTGGTTTTTGTTACCAAATCTTTTAAATTTCTCATTAGATTCCATTACTTTTGTCTGCAGAAGCTTTGGCTAGCCACTTTTCCAAGAAACCATAAAATACTGCTCATATCATTTAATTTCCTCTAAAGTGGTATAAAGTTTTGCTGTGACATCATAAAAAGGACTGCAATAATAAAACCTCAAACATGGAAAACCACTAAGAAACAAAACACGGATAATTATATTCTCAAAAGATGATAGTTACTTAGTAAATATAAACCTATGCTTTGGGATGAGCAGAAATTTTTAAAAGTGATGAGGTTGTTAATAGTTTCATTTTAAGTTTACTTACTGATTAAGTATTATTTTATTACAAATTACAGCTTTTGTAGGAGGGAAGGTTTGTTTTTAGAACAGGTACTATGTTTTGATCACTGGTGCAATCATTCTCAAGAACACAAATTTACCGTTAAAACTTGTGTACTTGAGAATTATTGCACCAGTGATCAAAATGTCACACATGTTCTAAAAACATGTTCTTCCTTACTGTAAAAACTGTAACTTGTAATAAAATTATAAGTGTGTTGTTTATAGCGAGACTCCTGAGCTGTGCAGAAATTAAAGTTTCAAATTATTTTAATTTTTCCTTGGGAATTACACTAAATAAATGTGAAAAATTACAAAATATCAACTTTAAAAGATTTTTGAGTTAAAATTGTTCAATAAAGCTAGTTTATTTTATTTTTATATAAATTTGTGAACTCTGATACACAGATGTGCACACAACATCTGAAAGGTGCTCTGCAGTCTTGTTAGGGTTAAGTGCTTAATGGTTCATTCACTTTTTTATAGTTTATTCACTTTTATGCAATTTTTACTAATAGTTTAATGGTTGATTCAATGTTTTCAAAAGATTTACTTTTGATCTAATATTCTTTAAAGGTTTACTACTTGAACAAATGTTTATTACTGGATTTATGGCTTTCAATATTTCTAATATTTACTAGTTGATTTTATATTTACTGTATTATATATATATATTGTTGATTTATCATTTAAAATAGTTTACTGCTTGGTTCAATAATTATCAATGATCTAATGATAGATTTATCATTTATGAAAGGTTTACTGATTGATCTAATGTTTACTAGTGCACTGATGGATGGAAGAATAATGGTGGTCAAGTAAATAGATATAAATGAATCAGTTTATTAGTTAATTAGTATTGGTTTACTTACAATTAAGCTGATGAGGCTGGTGTTCTCTGACTGCTTCAAGCTTGAAAAGATAGAAAAATTATAGTCTTAAACAGAACTGATAAACACATAGAAAAAATGTTTTGATGAAGCAATATCTCATTGTTTTTACATCAGTGAAGATGACAACCTTGGAACTATACTAAAACACCAAAGTTATAATTTTCCTATACTGAAAATGTATTTCTTTACTTACCTCCACTCACAAGATTAGCTATTCTCGTTCAGTACTGCCCTCTATATGCAAACTTTTCATAATGTATGCCACAAGCCTTGAGCACCTCTCTCTGTTGGAAATATCATGTTCCATCATGACTCTCATGTAAATCATCACTCATCATCTCTTAACCCATTAACTGCGGATGACGGATATTTCCGTCATTGAAGTTTTATGGCTCAGCTGCGAATGACGGAAATATCCGTCAGTCGCACATATATAACTATAACTCTATGCGAATGACAATAATTACCATTTTATTGTGATTGATGGCAACTCAGTTTTATCTGTGAGTCAGAAAACAGCAACTGAGCAGCTCCTACAGCAGTTAATGGGTTAACCAATAGTAACCTGACCTGCTCAAGTGATGCATGTGACTCCCTCTACACTCCTCTACTGAACCTTCACTTCGAAGTTTGGCAGAAGGCACAAGATTAGCTAGAATCCCACATTGAAAAGGAGAAAGGACCAGTGTGAGGGAACAAAAAAAAGCACCCCGAAAGAATCCTAAAGATACCTCTGAACCTGAGAGATAAAGATCTAAAGATCAAAGAGGGGAACTGCATTACTTCTGAACCAGGTATACTCTTTGCCTTTGTGGAGTGTGTGACATGCACAAAGGTAGATATGTAAGATGTAGAGTGGCTAGGGCACATTGGACTATATTCAGTAAGTCAACTACATCCAAAACCTCCCCACTGACATCCACACAGGGGTAAGATAAGGATCATACAGTCTTCACCTCAAACTCAAAAATTGGGGTTTTAAGACCTACACCAATATCTGGATAAGCTACGGTGACAGGATGTCCATCAAATGGAATCAACTTCCCCAACAATGGCACAGACCAGTACCATCCAAAGACAATAACATACCCACCAGAAGAACAAGAGATAGTCCAGGAGAGTACTGGAACCAGCCCACTAACTATACAGTGATGAAAGACAGATGGAGCAACTGAGGGAGGAAGAGAGACAACCTGCCTCCATGGGAGGACTTATGTTGATTGGTTCACTCTATAATCGAAAACCTCAATGCTGGGAACTGACATCCATGTGAAGGTAGGATGAGGACACCCAATTGAAGGGTGAACTGCAAGTGTGATGGTTCAACTCCAGTGTGAAAGTAAAGTGGATCAGGAGGCCATGTCATCCCATAAGGGGATGGCTCAGCTCCAGCTGATGTGTAAAAAGAAGCAAGAGGCAACATCATCTCGCAAGGCGACAGCTCCACTCCCTTTGTGTTGTAAATAGTAGCAGGAGGCCATGTCAACCTAGAAGGCGACAGCTCAACTCCTGTGAGTATAATAGGGATAAGGAAGACACATCAACCAGAAGGTGATGACTCAAATCCATTGATTGTGTAAGTGGTAGTGGGAGGCCATGTCATCCCAGGAGGAGATGGCTCAACCCCAGTGTTGGTGTGTAACATGATCAGGAAGCCACGTCAACCAGCAAGGCAACAGCTCAACTCCTCTGGAGGCCACATTGCATCTACACCAGCAGAACACTACTGCTCTACTCTCAACTGAATGGTCTGGGGAACTAATTCAGGAGGGTGCCTCCAAGGTCCACCATCCCAGCAGCTTGGAACTTAAAGTGGCAAGGAATCCCATACTACACTCGAAGAAAGGAGGGTGGCTATGCAGTGGAGAACCCGGATAAATGTCATCACTGAAGACAGTGCAATGGGTGACCATGAAACCCTATCCTGAAAAGCAGACCATTCCTGGTTTTTTCACACGGGACATGGCAGGGATGAGCAACAATTCCCTTCTGCTTTATCCATGTAGTCAATGGTGGTACAGTCCAGGATGGGCATGTTTATGAAGCAATGAGATCCCGAGGTTATTCACCTACAAGTGATCTTGTGGAACACCCCATCTCAATGGTGAGCATGTGTAGCCTTGGACTAGAAAGTGCAAGTCAACATGGCAGACAGTGTGGATTTAGAGTTAAAAAATACCTGGACAGGCACCACTTGCCACAGAGGGAGAGAAAAGGCCCCTGAAATAAAAATTAAGAAAACATACCAGTTAAAGTCGTACCAAATTCTGGAGAATTGCCACAGGTGGTAGACAAAACCATGATATGATGAAGATAGTGGGAGATAAACATACTGGGAATGGTCCACATGCTGGACTGGAGAATCTCCTCCATCAGATGACGAATACAAGAGGAAGGAAAAAGGTGAGACATCTGATTTGATGGGAGGAAACATGGAACGAGGCAGGGAAGAATAGGCAAAATAAACAAACAAAAGGTGGATGCAATTTGTAAGGGTAGAAGGAGAAAGATCACAAAGGGAGGAGGATTGTCACGGGATAAATAGATGGTTGCGCATACCCAAAAAAGATGCAGTATGTGCAATATAACAATGAAAGGCCCTGACCGGACACAGAAGTTTATCCAGATCCAGTTGAGGGTAAAGATGGGATAATAGAAGGTAAGGATATAGGAGAAAAGGATGAACAACCCTCCCAAGCAGCTGAGGTTTTAAGGTGAAAGGAACAATACGGATAAAGGAGAAGATAGGCAGAGTGATAAAGGGTACGTAATACGTCTATGTCAAACACATCTGACTGTCGATGACCACATGCCAACAGAAGAAGGAAATAAGTTTTAAGGGACAGACAGAACAAGGAGTACGAGAAAAGTGGTTCAAATGGAGGTAAAGTGAGGGCATGGAAGACCCAATTAATGTCCCAATCCGGAGGGGCAGGACATTTGAAGGAATGCATGAGCGCAGTAAGAACCGGAGAAAGGAAAACCTTACAATATCTGGAAAAATGGAAGGTTTGGGATAGGGCTGCCCAATATCCTAAAAGCGAGGAAACCAAAAAAACACAGTCAAACAGCCAGGTGAAAAATTCTGTAACATGAGCCACAGATGGCTTGTCAGCAGGAAATATTCTGTTAGCAGACCAACAGTGAAAGACTTTCCACTTACGTTAATAGACTTCTAAAGAAGACAGCCATAAGAAACCAGATAAAAAGGAAGCAATTCGACATGCAAAACCAGATCCTCTTGCCAAGGCCTGGACAAAAGCCAGGCGTGAAAATAGAGGACAGGGAGATTGGGATGTAGGAAATTGGATCAAGGTTGACAGAGAAGGGAGGGAGAAAGTGAAAGAGGACTTGGAGCAGATGCTGTAACCTGGGAAATCAAGGTTGTGCCAGCGAAAAGGGTGCTATCATGAGGAGTAGAATGGACCAGAGAAATCACCCGAAACAGCAACCGGATTGGAGGGTATACATACAGGTATTTGTGTGACAAATCCTGGCTGAAAGCATTGACTGCCAAAGCCTAGGGATGTGGTACAGGTGACCAAAAGAGGGGCAAACTTGGAATTGAGGGTCGTGGTAAAAGCATCTAATTGGGGAGAACCCCCAACGATGGCAATGGTCCCAGAAAACGAGAGGATCCAATGCCCACTCCACAGGATAGGATCTGGTACAGTCGCGAAAGACAATCTGTGACAAGATTGAAAACACCAGGTACAACACCTGTGATAAAACGAATGTGACGTGCATGGGCCTAGTATAAGAGCTCCAACATCGAAAAACAGAGCTCTCTCACCTGGGTGCCCCCCTGATGGTTAAAGTGTGCCACCACCATAGAGTTGTCCAAATGAACTATCACCAGACAATGATGGATGAAAAGAAGGAAGTGATGTAAAGCCCAACATACCACCAGAAGATTGAGAACACTGATATGCATGATAGATTTGTCTGCAGATGAATGGCTTGAAGCTTCCTGTTGATTGATCCATGACCCCAACCTTGAAGGGATGCATCCATGAACAAAGCTAGATCCAGATGTGGGGGAGTAAGTGGCATGCCCATCAATGTATGAGCTTTGTCCAGCCACCAGTGCAGATCATCTCGCAGGGAAAGAGAAAGGGAGACAATAGTGGAAAGAAAATCTCAAGCAAGGTTCCATCTGTTATGAAGCACCCACTGCAAGGATCTCATGTGGGCACGAGCAAGAGGGATAAGTGTAGTCATGAAGGACCACATCCCTAAAAGAGCTGAAGACATAAAGGAGAAGGCATGCCATGACTGATACCGGTGTCGAAAAAGACCCCTAGATGGACCAGGCATTGTGTAAGTCGAAGGAATGACTTGTCCAGTTTGATCAACCAGCCCTCTCAAGCTGCCACAAAAAGGAGTTGGTATATATGAGTGGCTGACTCATGTTTGAAATGAGGCAGCAGGAGCCAGTCATCCATGTATTAAGGAAAACCACCCTGAAATGGACAAATCGAAAATAAGATCGAGACTGCTGGTCAATAAGGATGTGAAGGTAAGCATTGGACACATCCACAATCACGGCAAAAATGCCCATCTCAAGGTGAGAAAAGACTCCATGGTAAACTTGGGAAGTGCGATAAAGTGTTTGAGGTGAGATAAATTGATAACTAGCCGCCAATCTCTGGTTTTCTTGGGGACCATGAAAAGACAGGATTAAAAACCCCGAAAGGGTAGCCAACTGGTTCAATAACCTGTTGCAAAAGCAATTATCGAACCACCTCTGACAGATGCTGGCACGCCATGGGATCTGGAGGAAAAGAAAAAGAAATAGAGCAAGGAGAGAGAGGAGGAGGGGAAAGCAACTGGAGAACAAATCCTTCTGACATTGATCCTCGATGAAGGGACATCAATGAAAAAGAAAGTTTAAAAGTTCAGCTCCTACTGGCCCCAAATCCAGAGGGTAGTCACCTGTACTGTTAGCAACTGATGTTTCGTCATTGAGGGAATTGACGAGAAGAAGTACCCCGACTAGCAGGAATGGGTAAAGGTTGGGAGGATGAAGGACAGGAGATGAGAATAGGGGGCATATGAGGCTCTGAATGACACAAACAAGCAACAAACGACGTGAAGGTGGATTGCTGACAAGCTGATGTAACCCGAGGCTCGATAGTTTCTGGGACAGCACCAAAGGTATGATGTCACAAAAATGGAGCATGACGTAAGTCCTTTAGATACGGAGAGAGTGTAAACTGTTCCAGGCCAATACAGTGTGCCTACCAATAAGGTCCCAACAGCAAAGAAACTACCTTTGTAATGCCAGAACCAAGGAAAAAATGCAGGCTAATGTAGAGGAGACAATGTACAGGGTATCCACATAAAACTCCTCAGGAGTTCTGTGGAGTGCCTCAGAAAGGAGATGTATGGAAGAAAGATACCGTAGGAGAGTGTTTAGGGTAAGACAATGGCGAGAATATTGGGCATGGGTAAGACTAACAATTTAATCAGGAGCCTCCCCTCCAAAGAGATAACAATGAACCCAACAAATGCTGATCCAAAAATGGATAGTCAGCATGATAGTAAGAAAGGGCATGCTGATCCCCTCACTTAATTGAGAGACAAAGTCATAAGCATGTACCCGAATATCTGGGGAGGGATGAAAAACCAAAAATGGTTGAAAAGAGTTTTCATGTTATAAAGAAGGTTGAGGGGAATAAGATATAGGGGAAAGGGATAAAACATCACAATCCTGAGACACAAAATCCATGAAGACCGAATTGGGCCTAGATGATTCGTCAAGTAGCAAATGGGAAGAAATGGCAAACTCTGGAGTTGGAAAAATAATTTAGAATTTCTGTTGATTCAGGAGGAGCCTGGGCGACGTCAGAGTACAAAGGTTGACCCATATAGCATTGAATCTCCCAACATATAAAAGCAGAAAGATCTACCGTCTGGTCGTACTCACCTAAGGCCTGTTTGTTTGTTTTGAATTTCACGCAAAGCGACATGAGGGCTATCTGCGCTAGCCATCCCTAATTTAGCAGTGTAAGACTAGAGGGAAGGCAGCTAGTCATCACCACCCACCACCAACTCTTGGGCTACTCTTTTACCAACGAAGAGTGGGATTGACCGTCACATTATAACACCCCCACGGCTGAAAGGGTGAGCATGTTTGGTGTGACGGGGATTCGAACCCGTGACCCTCAGATTGCGAGTCGAGTGCCTTAACCACCTGGCCATGCCGGGCCTCCTAAGGCCTGAGAAACAACATTAGTTGTTGGTGTGACTCCCAAAGTGGTAATGTGAACTTTGGAATTCATAATGCAAAACAGAACTCACAAGTGATCAAGTTTTGCCAAAGTAGATAGTGACAAACTGAACTGGTGTATAGTAGAAAAGAAATTAAAAATTAAGTTAATAAAGAAACCACTTTTAGTAGGAAAAAAATGTTCCATTGTCACATGGTAGCACAAAAAAACAACAACAAAAACATCTGAAATCGAACCCTGCCAAACGAGAAGTGAAGGTTCGGTAGAGCAGTGTAGAGGGAGTCACATGCATCACGTGAGCATGTCAGGCTATTATTGGTTAAGAGATGATGCATGATGATTTGCATGAGAGACATGTTGGAACATGATATTTCCAACAGAGGGGGTGTGCAAGACTTGTGGCATGCGTTATGATAAGTTCGCATATAGAGGGCAGCACTGAAAGAGAATAGCTAATTTTTTGAGAGGAGGTAAGTACCTCCAAACAAATTATTCAGCAAGGCTAACTGAATTTCAAAACTAATACATTTAGTCTTTCTCAAGTTATTGAATAAACCTTTTTTATAGTTGTGAGACTTTACAGCTATAGCATTTGGACCTGCAAAGTAAAAATAGGTTTTTCTTACAAATTTAGATTTGAAAATCTTAAGTTTACTATGAAATGCTTTAGGTAGTTATAATGTTTTTTGTTATAATCACAATGATACATTTAGGCAAGTCTAATGAATTTTAACAAATACATCACTTAATTAAAGTGCAACAATAAAATCTTTATTAAAGAAACAGTGCTATATATATAAAGTTTTGAGCTTCTATCACTAGTTCCATCAATAAATGTATTTCAAAGTTATTGTGTTTGTGTGTATTATCTATTATGATTCTCTTTGTAATGCTTTTGACTTATATGTGATACCAATAATGTATATATAGGTTAGAAGCCATGAAGTTAGTTTTAGTGTAAGAATTTCTAGTAATTTATTTTAATGAATGGGTAAAGGCAACTTATGAGTCTAAAACAATTATGAAATGATCAGTATTGTCAGCTTCAATCATAAAAATTTTATTTGTCCATTAGATGGATCACTGATTATTTAAGTACTTTTTTTTGTCAACATTTTTCAAAAACTAGATCTTCAACTAAAAAGACTAAAGCAGTTAGCTAACATTTACTTGTTTATACCTCATAGAATGAAAATATCAAGTAATTAAATGCAACGTATTATATTAGGCCTGAGTAGAATGAAATTGGAAACTTTTGTCTTCAAGAAAGGAAATTTGAAATCCAGCAATTTCTAGTCATTTTCAATCCAACTTGATAATAAAAACTGAAACAAAAAAGCATACCTTTTCATCCATTAAACGATTAAGAATTTCTAGCTTATGCTGAAGTTCAGGGGAGTTAGTACCTTCCAAATCTATAAAAAAAAAGGTTGCACACTTGACTGTATATACTATAAAAGTCACACAGTTATTTCTAATTTTTATATTTTAAATTTAAGAGCTAGAAGTTTTCTGGGAGTTCTATGTTTTAACACATACTGCATCTATTAATTCATATTTACAGTTCACATCAATACTAAAATTCGGTTCCCTACACTATATTTAAAAACTTAAGGAACCAGAGTATCATATACATGCTACAGATGTCTAGCTATACAGAATAAATGAAAACATACTTTCATTAGCTGAAATTATTATTATTACTTCTTTCCCTAACATAATTTTAAAAAAGTGTACTTGGAAATCCAAATATTAATGTAGTACAGTATCGGTTACAACTTCGTTTTCTGTATTACACATAATTATGTTGATGATTTTTCATTTCTTTCAAATGGTTTAACAAATAACACATTTAAGTGACATACCATCAAGTAAAGAGAAACCATAATACTTTAAATTCCTCAGTACTCTTTTTCAGAATACATAACTTTGTCTACCTAAACCATTATAAGCCTTCACCTCCCAAACAAAAACCTAAAGGAGGGGATTTAAAGTCAGTGACCAAAAGTCAGTATCAGAATTAGTATTGAGTAATATCTAATTGAAATAACATAGCAAAAATGGAACTATTTTGATACCAATCCAAATCAATAGGGTCAACAGAAACAAGATGACAGATGTTTATATTTTGTCCAGAGAGGGTGCTGTCATGTACAAAAAAAAACGTTTTTGCATAGAAAAATGAGATGATCATAAAAAGTCATTTTAGCATGTTTGATTATTATAAGAGAATTTCATGTAGGTTATAATTCTATTTTAACATAATGACTTTTTATAGAATCATTTCTGAAAACAAAACCAAAAATGCAATCAACTGAAAAAAGGTAAAAAAAACACACCAGAATTACCTTATCATTTACTATAATGCAAGTATAAAGCTTTGAGTGTTCAGACTAGTTTTAAACGAAAAAATATCTTCATACAGAAATTCATGACATATCAAAACCTCTAAGTAATACCATTCATAACAGCAGCACACTCTCCAGACAAAATGTAAATATAAGCTATTTTGTTTCTGTTGACCCCATTGACCTGAAACTGGCATTAAAAATTCAATTATTTTATGTATTTTAATGAGATACTACTTTAATATTAATTCTAGTACTTACATTTCGTCACTGATCATGCTATCCTTGTTTATTAGCAATGCATTAGCTTTAAGCCTACATCAGACATAAGAGGACAGTGCACACACTGATAACTCTCGAGAAAAAATCCATCATTGTCAAAATAAAAGAATTATAGCACCTAATTATACAAACTATCACCTCAGTTTTCTTCTGGAACAAAACTTGAATTGTTAGTAAATAAAATATGCCTTTATATTAAACAGACAACAAAAGAAGAAACCCTTTATTTTCATATTAAAAAAGGATACTACTTTATACCTGAAATCCTGTAATACATTAAACACACCACTAATAAAACAGACATCTAATTAACAATAGTACTCATTAATCGTCCTTATTACAAATGTTTTGGAGCATTTCTACTCTTGATGCAAAATGTATTTGCTCATGAGCAACTGAGAATTAGAGTTTTGAGTATATTGTTACGTATCTGCTTGTTTGTTAATTTCCGGTAGAAATCTTTCCGATGAACTTCAGCGATACAAGTCCTTTCTTGATTAAACCATTTTATTCTTTCTCGATACAAACTTTTAGTAAACAGTAATTCCACAGTCAGTACATTTCTTGTCACTTTAAACTTAACAACTTTTATAATACACGCTATAAATCACAGCGATTAACAATCTCGATAACTTTGCTCTCTCCGAGTGCAAAACGCACACTAGCTCAAAACAAAATCGTAAATTACCCGAAACTCACCGTGACTACTGTTCACTTAAACCCCACTGCCTTTTCTCTGCCAGGCTTATATACTAACAAAGAGGCATCACCAACATTCGCAGAGTTCCCAAATATTCGAGAAATTCACCACGCATGCTCCTAGCATCATGCGACTTCCACTGTCGTAACAATATGAACTTGTATCAGTCCAGCTATATTGATGATAGCTAATGTTATCCAAAATGCTTTTTTATGTTTCTGGGTGTGAAAACCATTTTGGTGTGAATTTACATATATATATCTTTCTGCTTATTCAAGTCAAAATGGAACATTTGAGGCTATCTAAATTTCCTGTTAGGATTAACACTGTAGATTTCTTCATTTTCTATTCATTTGAGATGTTAAATAATATATATATTTTCTCATCATACAAAAACAAGTACCATACCATCAATATATGAGAGCTGCAGTTTCAAATTATATCAGCTCTCATAAGACCAGCTGGATCAATGACAAACAATGTTATTCAGAGACAATTAGAAGAACCATCAACAGTTGTTCAGTATCTATTGAAATAATATTCAATTTTTGTCTGTCCTGAAAATGCATTCACACATTCGTATCTAAATAGCATGCACATATACTTCATTTCAACAGTTATAACCAAAAGGCAGATGTAATATTAATACTTTAATTGACATTTTGTAAAACAACATATTAAAAACTTATCAATGTTTTCAAAAAGGTCTAGCATTAGATCATTGAATAACACTATAAGTTTATTTATTTATAATATTAAGTACAGTAAAGTTTAGCCCTAACTCAACTAAAGGAAAACCATGCACAAGTTACTATGTTAATTTATCTCTTTTATTAAATTTAGGCTGCACTTCATATAGGCTTAGCTAATGTTAGATCTAAGGCAAGTAGACTTACAGATTTTGGTGTCTGAGATTAAATTCTTTTGCAATATTCTAGAAATCCTGTATTTAAAGAAGTATTGTTGCAAGAAAAATACTACCTTGACTACAAATGTTTTGCAGATCTCTGCTAGTTACCTATTACAGACAACGGATAATATTAAGAATACACCACCTGATGCATAACGATCAAGATTGGTTATTTATAATTCCTTATTACAGGTTACATGCAACCTCAGATATTCATCAATTAACATAGAAGGATCACTATAAGCTACTTACAATTCCTTTTAACAGGAAACATATTTCATTCAGTATTCACAAATCAAAAAAGAAGGACCCTAGGGAGTCCATTACTCCTGCAGAACCAAGTGAAACAATAATTCACAAGTTGCATGTCCTTATAAAGGGCAATTTTCATGAGGCTAATCATATATCATATAGAAACTGCATGCAGAAGTAAGCATTTAGCATATATAACTAGTTAGCTGACATAAATCATTATTTACAAAAAACTGCATGCAGAAGTAAGCATTTTGCATATATAACTAGTTAGCTGACATAAATCATTATTTACAAAAAACTGCATGCAAAAGTAGGCATTTTGCATATATAACTAGTTAGCTGACATAAATCATTATTTACAGGAAATGGTGCATTTTCAATTTCATATTTTTTAACTCTTTCTGTACCACAGGGGGTGCCTGCCTACTGACTTTTTATGTTCTCCCAGTAAAAGTATAAAACCAAATTGTATGAGTCAGTACAAAGTTTTTCTATAAAAAACAAAACACAAACACTGCAAGATTGACAAAATTTATCAATGACCAATGAACTCACCTTTCATAATATCACAGATACCAATATTGGATGTCATAGCATAACATTTTTACAACAATATATTTGTACAAGACAAGTTTATATCTAATAGTTATAATCTGTTTTTTAAATACAAAGCCTTTGTATTTGTGTGTTATTTGAATTTAAAAATGTAAGAATATATTCAATAAAAAATAATATATTTTATCTGAATAGTCTGTTGTCACAGGCATGCCCAATCACTCCTCACTAATGTACTATACAATTTTGGATATACTGTATGTTATGCTTATAGCCAGCTTTTTATTTAAAGAATTTTACCATTGTTTACAATTTCTAATCTCAATATGAAAATCACTTTGCACATGGAGCAGTCAACACTCTGATTCTATATATTCACAGTCAAATCTTTAGCAAAAATACTTAACCAAAAAATCTGATTTTCTGTGTACAAAAGACTTGTAATGTTTTCTGAAAGCTTAGCAAATTATGTAATGATAAATAAGATATATCAGAGTTATAATATGGAAACCATGATGGTTACTTTGTGGTTACAAGATCGATTACTGAGCCCATATGGAAAGAGTTAAGGGCTACATATGACAGGTGATACTGATTAATAGAGAAGAAACCCTGTTGGCTATTTATAATTGTTTATTAAAGACAACATAAGACAGGTGTGCATAAATTAACAGGGAAAAAATTACTAATGGCTATTTATCAGTGTTTATTAAAGACAACATATGACAGGTATTCACCAATTAGCAGAGAAGAATCCCTATTGGTTACTTAATATTGTTTATTAATAACTACATGTGACATGTGTTTAAAAGTTAACAGGGAAGAATACCTGTTGGCTCCTTATTACTGTGTAACATATGACACTGCATGTTAATATGATCTACCCGATGTTATCTTACAAGTAAGTTTAGTTTCTTGTCAGAGCTATGCATTTTCCTTCTATTTCATATAAAATCTTACATACACATGGACTCACCAAATGGAAGCTCAAAATGAGCCTCTATTAAAATGCTGTGCCCAGTTGGTGTTTTTGTACCAATTATATCTCCATCATTCATCACCAGCTCTGCATCTAAAGAGAGCCATTGCCCTTGCCCCACCTAAAAACACAAAAATAAATGTGGTTAAAAGTGATCAAAAGATACTTTTACACAGTTCTTTTTCAAAAACGGTTTAACCCTATTGCCACGAGTATCCTTTACTGCACATGACACAAAGTATTAGTGCCTTACATTCAAAATTTTATTAAACTACTTTTTGTTTATGTTATAGCAATTAGAATAGCATAAAATCTTAACTAATAATCCATATTTTAATAGTATATAAGATTTAAGTTCTCAATTCTGTAATACAATATTTAAAAACATCCTGAATTTCCCTTAGTGTGATACACGTGACACTTTTTTTCTAGGCATCTTCTCTTCTTTATTTTATCCACCACCCCTCCAAAAAGTATGAACTTAAACGTAAATTACTCACTATAAAGTTGTCATTGCTTAGACAAACCGTAATTTTTATAGCCTTCAATTTTGTTTGGTTACAGAGCTATCAAATAAAAAATCAGACCCCTCCTGCCACACCCACCTGTCACATCCTGTATTTCAGGATTTGTTAATAGTTCTCTCTTTATGTTTAATTATATATTACCTATAACCAATAGAAAGCCAAATTTTTCATTTATCAAATGATATATAGTATAACATTGTGTTTTGAACAGATAAACGTCAATTTCACTCAGAGTACAAGCTCTGTTTCCTGAGAAAGTTAATGACAAGCTTGGATGAATTTGTAAAAGCTCTTTTTGCATAGTTAGAAAAACAGAAACATTTTGAGTGTTAGGGGAAATTGTCTACTTTTTGCATGTTATTAGTCTATGTCCTTTGGTAGATTATTCATTTAAATACAAATTATTTTGTGCACTACTACCATTAGTATAGAAAAAGCAGGGTTAAGTGTCATCGAGAATTGACAGCAAAAAAAAGAACATTAGGTAAGTACTTTACTTCTTGTTTTTCATGTTTATTCTTTATTTATTATTATAAAAGTAATTAAAATGTAAAAATAGGGATCTTTTTAGGTTAGTTAAGATTATATTGGGTAAAATAAATAATAAGCAAAATGTTTCACCAGGCACGAATGGGAGCAGCTCATAGTAGCATGTGGGTAATGTAATTCGACAGTGTAACATAAACTGCTCATTTCCTGAGTGATTTACAGCTTATAATAGCATGAATAGTAGTTATACATAGTTCAAAGGGCAATCAGAAGGGCATTAAAACAATAAAATTTATTATAAATCTATGTATACTGTTATGAGCCTAAGGTTATTTAGGATAAATGAATGTAGTTTCATGTTACAATTTGAAGTCATTCTAAAAAAGAAAAAAAAGAAAGAAAAAAAAAGGTAATTTAGATTTATTTCTATTTTTTTTCGGTGGTTACAAGGTCAGTCAAATTAATTAATCCTATATAGACATAGGGTAGAAAAAATAAAAAGTTTTACTGAAAAAAACCTTTTGAAATGTATTGAGGAGGTTTTATGGATTATACAAAGGAAATTTGAGATTTTTGAGATGAAGAAAAGTATTTTCAAACTTAACATGAAACTTATTTTGCACATGGACTATTCAAAACAAATACTCAATATATTCATGGACAAATCTTTATTTTACTTTATTAAAAATACTTCACTAAAAATATAATTTATGCCAAATTTTGTGAAGATATACACACTATATTGAAAGTTAGAAGTATTAAATCTATAAAGACTTTAAACGAGTACAAAGAGGTCACATGTTTAGTCAAATTGACTGAGCCCATGTTGAGACAGTTAATTAGCAAATAGTTTGTACTGTTGCTTTTATTTGCGAAATAGTTCTAAATAGCTATTTTTTGTAAGAACAAATGTATCAAGGCAGATAATTAGTATACAGGTTCTACCAAGATACTTAATTAACATATTCTATTACGATATTTAATCAGTAAACATCATATCACAGTACCTAAGTGCTTAAAACATTATTCAATAATAGTTATTTGATAAATTTAACATTTTCTGGTAAGGAAAATGTATTTCCGATTGATACTCACCCCTTTACACAGGAAGCTATCTTCTCCATGAATCTGCCTTAGAGATTTCTATGCCACCAGCCTTTAGTCAACTCCTACATAAACTTATGAGATTTCTCGTGATTTATACTACTGCATAATGAAGTTATTATGCAACAAATCCCCTCCACCAATAGGAGGATGACGCAGCTTTCCTGCACACTAGCTCCCTCTATGACGAGACAAGGAATACTAAGTTGCACCAGAAGTGGAGAGGAAGGGTGAGAAGTGTGTATAGAGGTGAGTATTTATTGGAAATACATTTTCAGGTAAGGAAAATGTTAACTTCTGAGGTGATACACATCTCTGTACACAGAATGCTAGAATCCCACATTGAAATGGTGGAGGGACCAGTGTGAAAGATACCTAAATGAGCTCCCTTCAGAAAGCACATGAAGGAAACTGATAGAGAGTTATCAATGAACGACAGGGGGCTTTATAGGGAGACTGCATCAAATCTCTTCTATGGCTCACACTGTACCAAAATTGAAAGAGAGGAAGAGGTAAAAAAAGCCCTCTGTGTTGTGGGTTATGGGCAGAATAAGAACATGGCAATGTGAAGACTTGCACACAAGAGGTCAGAGAGCTAACCACATGTGAGAACTTGTGTAGGCTGTTCTTACTCCGATCCAACACCAGACCACCCAGGATCCAACATCTGAGCAGCAGTAGAATGGAGGATGCTGGTATAAGTGGAAATATATGAGGGATGACCTGCACTATACTGAGAGTGCCACCTTTTGTGCACCCCACCCCAATGGCTAGGAACTGGTAAGTGGTAAGGGTCTGCCGGATAGGTCTTTTACCGAAGACAGTGCAATGAGTAACCTCGTAAACCTATTTTGAAAAGTCAGCAAGCATGTGCCAGGGAAACAGGCACAGCACCCCCTGATGTTTGCATTTTCCATGGTAATCCAGTAGATAAATATGAGAATATACCATAATGATGCCTCAAGTGGTCTTATGAAACACCCATCTCAACAGCAAGCATACATAGATCCATGGAAGATGGAATGAGCACTTTTCAATATCCAGGCTCAATGTAGACTTTTGGGAAAAGTGTACCCTGGCAGGATCCTGAGAGCAAATGCTAGAAACAAAGAGGAATTTACACACTCATCCAAAGACAGTGGGCGATGAAGTTATTCAAGGTAGTCTATGTACCAGTTAGAATGATTTTGTCCAGCAGCACATGAAAATGAGTTGTGACTTATCTGATGGGATGAAATACAGACCATCAGTGAGCAACAGCCATAAAGGAGGAAGAAACCAAAACAAGAAAGTGGCAGACCATACCAATAAAGACAGAACAAGTTTAGTCCCAGGAGGAAGAAGAATCCCAGAGAATGTAGAATGGGAGACCCCAAAAGTGAGAGGTAGGAGAGAAGTAGCAATGAACAGTATTAACAAGACAGAAATGTCTGTCTTGGTCCCAATGAGCATAGAAGGACAGGAGAGAGGAGAAGAGTAGCGGTCTGCCCAACGAGCAGTTGATAAGAATACAAGGACAATGAAAACTGAGGGAGAAGAGACATTGTGCAAGCAGAACACTGTCCAGGCAAAAGAGGAAGTCCACAACCCAGTGCATAGTATCTGGTACATGGCAGGCAGGGAATCAACCCAATAAGAATAGGCCCAAGTAGAAAGGTCCAGAGGTTGAATGCAAGAGGTTCTGGAATGGATGACATTATGATGACTAACTTAGGAAATACGAATTGTTGGAATGGAATCTAACAAAATGAACTATGAGTGGTAAGAATAAAAACACACTCAACCATCTACCAGAAGGTCAACTGCATCATTATGCAGAGAGGACTTGTCCTGAGACCAAGTGCTGAATGGAGGATAGATGGTCAGGGATGTTTCCCAACCAGAGGGGGAGTATATGTGAAGAGGTGTACGTCCAGCTTTGGTGGAGATAATGGGATATAGATGGTGATAGGGAATCAGTCCAACCACCCATTCAGAGATGAGAATGGAGGAAGGGACAGGAGAACCACTGAGGTCAAATAATCCCATGAGGCTTTCCTCTGATAATGCAAAGGCAACCAAGGAGGTGCATATGAGTGTGTCCTAAAGGGATAAGTAGTCTCCTTGAAGCCATGGTCACAAAAGAAAAAATTACACATGTAGAACGATTAAGATAGGTGTGAATCTCGATGACAGCAAGGTCCATTGATCACAGACAGATGGTAGGAAGCTGATCCCAGCCAAGAATGAACTTAAAACACCACCACAATGAATAAGATATTGACTGGGAGTGAGGAGTTGCTGGAAGTGGTGACAAACACAGTCTCAAAGAGATGTGGGACACAGATGAGAATAAAATGAGGAAAGGAAACAAGACGAAGGCCGAAGGGGAGAAAGAGAAATGTAGAGTGTGAAAAGCATAAATTCAGAGGGTGGACAGAAAGTATGATCACAGTCATTCAAACCATGATAGTCGACATTCTCAGGAAATGATGGAAATGGTAACAATGAGCTCAATGGGAATGATGCCAGGTAGAAGAGGATGGTAGTAATCAATTGGCAGGGATCCAAGAATGAAGAAGAGGTATGGTGGTGGAGGGTAGGGTTGGGAACAGTGTGGAAAGTGAAAAAAGTGAGGATAGGTAACCTCAGCCAGTGATTCAAACAAATTAGGAATACTACCATACAGCAGAGTAAACAGGCTAGGCAAAGGGCCAAAAAAATGTAAAATAAAAGTCAATTTGGGATAGCAGTGTATCCCCACCCAATAATCTACAGTAACAAGGAGGCAAGAGAGCAGGAAAAGTAGAAGGGAAACAGCTACAGTGGAGAAGGGAGGGGAACAAGAAACACTCATAAAATGAACTGGTGCATGGTGGAGTGCCTCAGAAATGAGGTGGAAGGCAGTGTGGTAAAAAAGATCAGGGAAAGATAGAAGTATTGGGTACCTGATAGCAAAAAAGTACTGCCCCCTCCAATGAAAAGGGCAATCCAGAACATGAAAGAGGATGCAGAATTATGAAAATCAAGGAAATAAGAATCAAATAGACAGAAAGGGAGAGGCATAATGTTGTCAAAATGGAAGTGGTCCAGGAATGGTAAAGGAAATGAGTTAGGGTTAGGATTAAGAAGTAGGGAAAAGGAAAAGAATATAACACAAACAGGAGAAATAAAAAAAAGGTGCATATCAGATAAACAAGGCTGAAAAATGCAAGTTGAAGTGCCTCTTCCACAGGGAGAGAAGTTCCCAGGCCCTAACCAGAAGAAGGAATAATCATATTCATCCTCCTCATTCACCTCAAAAATGCAAAGAATGCCTGAAAAAGAGGCTGAAACTGAAATACCTCATAGCATAAGGGATCCCACTATCCAATCCACAATAGCTGCTATGTCTTCCCCAGGAAATGTGCCTCCATGAGCCATCATAATTTCATAACCTGTGTGAGGAAGGTAGTCATTCACACAAGTAGTAGAAGACATTACATGAACAAGTGTTCATTGTTTGAATAAAAAGAAGAAAATTAAGTTCCCTCAACGTTGCAAATCTTAATAAATTGACAAATAAAAACATTTCTGATGTGTTCAGTGCCAAGAAATAGAATGAAGATCACAAGTGCAACACCACAGAGTGAGCTAGCGTGCAGGGAGGCTGTGCTGCCCTTCTACTAGTGGAGGGCTTTTGCTGAATAATAATGTCATTAAGCAGTAGCACAAATCATGAGAAATCTCTTAAGTTAGGTAGGAGTTGCCTAAAGGCCGGTGGTGCAAAACTCTAAGGCAGATGCACAGGGAGGATAGCTTTCTGTGTTAAGGGGTGAGAAATACATTTTCCTTACCAGAATTACCTTCGTATACATCATATCCAGATATTTAGTTGTTATAATGACATCAAACTTATAAATTCATGTCAGACACATCATATTAAGATCTTTGGAGAATAAATATTCCTCAGATAAGTTATTAGTTATTGTGTAACAAATAGAAAATTTACACTGATTTTACAGTAGCACAACATTACTATAGCATTTACTAGTTGTAATATGCTCACTGTAACAATAAATAGGTGCTATATTTATTAGTTGCTAGAAATTCAGAGTAACAATTAAAAACTGCTCCAACATTACTGTGATAATCAATGTTGTAACACACATTGTAACAGTTACATGTTGCTATGAAATCAATGATCATTACTTATTACTAAAACATTAAAAGCTTGCAACTGTGATTGTATAAAATCATTACAACAATATCTAGAAGCTACAAGTTTCATTGTCACAGTTAATAGCTATTACTTGTTACTACAAAATTAAAACCTTGCAACTGCTATAAATTCATTACAACACTAACTAGAAACTACAAGTTTCATTGTTATAGTTAATAGCTATTACTTGTTACTACAAAATTAAAACCTTGCAAATGCTATAAAACCATTACAACACTAACTAGAAGCTACAAGTTTCATTGTTATAGTTAATAGCTAGTATAATCTTATTGAAACAGCCATTGGTTCCTACAAATTCACTGTGTTTGTAATAATTAGTAGCTGTTATAACACTACTGACACAGATACTAGTTGCTACAAACTACCAAAGTATGTATTAGTTATAAATGGAGGTGTTCCAACTAACAAATTGAACAACTATCAGTCAATTGGCTAGACCACCATGACCAATATCAATTAAATGGTGTTGAATAATAATTAATTTAACAGAGCCAGCCCTAGATAATTTGGTTTAATTTCCAGAGTATCGGTGCCAATTATCATCCAATAATTAGTTCACAAGGTTAATCAGCAGTATTAGAGATAACCAGCACTGTCAGGTTTTTACGTATATATGGACAGGATTCTTTATAGTAGGTGTCTGTGACTTGTTGGCGATAAATTTCAACAATAAACAGACAGCATACAATCCACTTATTTTAAACTAATATATTCAAACAAGTCAAACTTATGTACAAAAAAAATTATTTACACTGTAGGTTATTACAGTTGAATCTAGAGCTTTAAATAATTAACTTTTCCCTCAAAGTCCACAATGGCTAGTTCAGTTACTTTAGAGCCTAATTGATGACACAAATAATTTCTTCTCTCCTCTGTTATCACAATACCATCAGTGATAAATTTACACATGTTACCCCGTGGGTTACCACAGTTGTGTCCAGAGCTTTAAATAATTCTATTTTTTGTCAAAAGTCCACAGAGCCAGGTTCAATTACTTCAGAACCAAACTGGCAAGACAAAGTATTCTTCTCTATCTCTGTTGTTACAATAAATGCTGTGAAACTCACTTCAAAATCACCACTATAGCTGTTGGTTATCCCAGTTGAATCCAGAGCTTTAAATAATTGTCTCTTTTATGTCGAGGTTCATACAGGTGGGTTCAGTTATGTTAGAACACCCTTTCACAAGACAAGTTCTTCTTCTTTATTTCTGTTGTTACAATATAAACTCTCACTTTATAAATCGCTCATTACAGCTAAACTGACAATCACATACTCTACATTCACTTTCACTAACTTATTTTCACTTAACAGATTCTGTTAGTTTAAGTATCTTTAAAAAGCAAAACTAAAAATCAAACCCTTAAAATATAAATATGAACCAACTTTACTCACTTCCTTGGAATACTGAACACTCATCAAAGGAAACCACTGACTTCCAATAAGTTTATCCCAGAGCATCCCTTTAGCCCAGACTTCAATAATCATTCCAGTGTCTACGCAATTAGTTTCACTGAAATTTATGAGAATTAAAATTAATTCTAAGGTGAAATCCAGTTTTCTACTGTTCAATTCCATATTTGTTTCTGCATTTCTATGTCCCTTGTACACTTTGTAAGCTGAAATTCAATGTTAAATCTTAAAAAACAATGTTAACATTATATATAAAACTTTTATGTATGAAAATACATTTACAAGTTTTCACATACAATCACTTACTGTATATTCTTGCATCTAATAATAAAACTATTATATGGTCAAACGAAAACCTAGATGACATTTTTATACTACTTTTAGATTACATACGAATTGTAAATGCTGAAGAAGGTTAAAAAACATAAACAATATAAAGGTTCTTAGATATGGTTTCCTCATTTTATGTTGTCACTGAATTTAAGACTCTATAAATCAAGGTTCCATGGATGAAAAAATTTTAAGGCTTATTCAATGCAAGTAACTTTTAAATAATTTGATCTCTGTGTTTACTGTGTTAATAGATGAGATATCATAATCTACTGAAAATAATTTCCTTATTTGTATATAAGCTCCTTTGTATTCACTATACGGTCAATCAAAATATTCTTCTCGTGCTTATACACTATAAAATACAAGTTGAATCCTCTCTATACACTATATAAACAGATATTGTTCTGTAATAATCTCTCTCTAAATACTTTCTTTATATTTAGATAATCTTATAATACACTTGATAAACAATATTTTCTACTATAAGCTCCCTGGAAATACACTCTTCAACTTTATATATCTTAAAACACACCTTCTCAATGCAGTTTATAGATAATCCTTTTCCAATTGAAGTTTACTGCAAATACTCTCCTCATCTTTATGTAAAATTAAAATAGATCTTCTACAAGTGATTTGTAAATATTCCTTATTCCATTACACACTCATTTTAAGTATGTTCTCCTTGATTGTTAGACCATTAACCTTTTTATGTGCCCATATGTTGATATATTATCTTTCTGTATATATGAATTGCAAATATACATGTGCACTACCCAAAGATACAAAAACCAAATGCCTTACAATATAAAGTCTTGTTCCCAACTTGGATTGTTCCCTTTAACTGCAACAGTTGTTGATTTTACATTTTGAAGTTTTAATGTTACATAGCTATTGTACGGACCTGAAAAAAAGATAAAAATGGCAATTGTTAACACACAAAACAAGAGCAAACAAATAAGAAATAAATAAAAATTCTATAAAACCATATCTAGAAATAACAAAACTACACAAAAACGTACTGTATATCACCACATCTATAGATATTAAAACTACATGAAAACCTACTGTATATCACCACATTTACAGATATTAAAACTACATGAAAATCTACTATATATCACCCCATCTACAGATATTAAAACTACATGAAAATCTACTATATATCACCCCATCTATAGATATTAAAACTACATGAAAACCTACTGTATATCACCACATTTACAGATATTAAAAACTACATAAAAATCTACTATATATCACCCCATCTACAGATATTAAAACTACATGAAAATCTACTATATATCACCCCATCTACAGATATTAAAACTACATGAAAACCTACTGCATATCACCACATCTACATATATTAAAACTACATGAAAACCTCATACATATTCCCACTAGAACTGGGAGTTTAACACAATTAATCAATTAATGTCATAAAAATAATCAACTAATCGAAAGTCAACATTTTCTCAAACAGAAAATGTATTTCCGATAGATATTTACCTAGCCTCACAAATAGCTTTTTTTGACTTATACTGCTCTCTGTATATGCAAATTTTCATTTGCCACTAGCCTTGATACTCCCACCTACTGTCATGTGTATTCACATGAGACATCTACATGCTATCATGCAAATAATTATGCAGCAACCCTCCTCCAATAGGAGTGCGACACAACTCCTATTGTCACTGGTGCACTCTCTTCCATGCAGCCAGTAATCATTTGAGATTAGACAGTACAAACAAAATCTACACCGGAAGTGGGGAAGTCAGGTGAGAAGTATTAGTGGAGGTAAGTATCTACCAAAAATGCATTTTCAGTGTCAAAAAATGTTAACTTCTGATATCTTACCTCTTGTCACAAATAGCTAGAATCCCACATTGAGTTGGTGGAGGGCCCAATGAGAAAATGATCTCCCTTTAGAAAGCGGCCAAAGGAAGACCATGGGGTGTGCAAATAAATGGAAGGTAACACCCCCATGGGAGACCGTATCACTTCTGAGCCAGGTACACTGTTTGCCCACGTGAAATTGTTGCAATAAGAGCAGAAACACAGAAGAGACTCCCCCACATTATCATGTATGCACATCCAACACAATCACCACCACATCTGCCAGAAACTGACATCCAGGGAATGGTAAGAAGATGGACAGCAAAGTGGGGGCGTATCTCCAGTCCATCACCAGACTGCATTGGGAATGTATCATCTAGTCTGCGATAGAAGGAAGGTACACAGCCACACATGTTAGGAATTATGTGGCTGTTCTAGCTCCAACTATCACCATATCCACTTGGAACTGACATCAAGGGAAGGTAGGAAGGATGGTACTTCAGCCAGAGGGGTGAACTGTACATTGGTGGAATGCATCATCCATCACCTTACAGCATCTGAAATTGTACATCAGATCTAAAGTAGGATGAGCATCAATGCCACCTACACTGGCAGAACACCACTGACACACTCTCAACTGAGTGGGATTGAGCAGAATCAGAAGGAAGCCTCCATGGTCCTCCAACCCAGTGGCTAGGAAGTGGAAGAGAAGGAGAGGGAAGCCAGGACACTTCCTTCAAAATGAAAAGTGACTGTGAGGTATAGGCAAGAGGAGGACACAGGATGCCCAAATCCACCTCCCATGGTATGAGAGGAAAATCATTGTCAGGGTTTTATGTATGTAGGTTGGAATTCTTTTACAGTAGGTGTCTGTGACTTGTTGGTGATAAATTTGAACAATAAACAGACAGCATACAATCCACTTATTTTAGAATAATATATTCAAAACAAGTCAAATGTGTGTGTACAAAATTCTTTGCACTATAGGATATCATAGTTGTATCTAAAACTCTGAATAATTCTCTTTTATTGTCAAAAGTCCACTCACGCTGAATATTCACATGAAGCTCCACCTTAAAAAGCAAAAAGTAATTAAATTGATCAACATGAATCATTAAATTTTGCAAAATGACAATTATTTTCAATTTTCTACATGCAAACTGAAATTTGCATTACACTTCTTGTATGAACCCTACTGAACAAGGTATATAGGTCACATTTCAGCACACTCAGTACTTCTTATAGTGTAGTACATTTCACCTGCTCACAATTGAAACTGCTATTCATATACATGTTGCAAACGGATTAGAGTACACACACAATTAATATGCAATGTTTTTTTAATAGCCTCATTCTTTCATTATGTTTTGTATGATCAAAGTTACACCAATACATTTTTGTAAAACAGTTTTCAAGCAGGATTGGATACATACTGTGAAATTCAACTTAAATTTGTGACACTTAATTACAACTCAGATACTTTAACAGTTGATCTATACAATATAGTAGAATATGTAACTGTCAGACACTAAGTATAGGGTGATTTGTTTATTAATTTTGTATTTTATAGCTGTAATAACTAACGTATGACAAGTGAATGGCGTGAAACTTAGCAACATTGGGAGATTGAAGTAGGCAGCAGCACAGTAACAAAGTTTGTGCTGGATTTTCTTTGTGAAACCCTGAAATATAATATTTTCAAATAGGGTCCCTTATGTCTATGGATGTAGGTTATCCTTGTTTTCATTGTCATCTGATTAGAACCTTTCTCTGGGATTAATAAAAATAAATATACACACGGTACAGTTTTAATTAATGATGCAGTAACTTGGGAGCTGTTTGGAATTTCCCACGGACAGAATTCTCAGTGTCACATGATATCACAGCAAGTACATAAAGAACACACACACACCAAAAATGTTGTTCTTCAAACACACACTGCAAATAATAATTTTCATGAACACCAAATTTACTCTTCTTCATATATGCCTGAAGATAAATTTTCCTCAAACTTACTTGAATTACAACTCTTTACAAATACACACACACACACACACACACAGAATTCTCGGTCTTCACATACACTTCAATTTCTGACCTTCTCTTATATGCATCAGAATTAATACCTTTAATTGTTGTATACATGATTTTAGGTCTTAATATACTCTCTTTAGAATTGTTGTTTTTATTAAAAATATCTATATTATTGTTAGTCTTCAAACACACAACATTGTAATCAGAATTTACAAGTAAATTGATAAACTCCTTCCTTTCAGGCACTCTTTTCTACATCACAAGATTTTACTTAGTAACATTCAAAATTTAATTAAGCTATTTTATGATCAATGTTTGCCAGTGAAATCAGCATTAAAATTTATACTATAGTTCAGAGTTTTATATTATATAAGTTTTAATTCCTTTACTTCAAAAAAAGCTTTAATGAAAAATTCTTAAAGTTTTGTTTTATTCTCTTGTGAGTCGCAAATTCACAAAACGTTAAATTTGCATCTTTGTAGTTTAAATACTTCTTGACTCATGCTAACCTTTCATATATAGAAAGTATCTAAGTTAATTGCTCTGTTTACATATTCTTCTTTCAAGTTCCTTAGGGCATGTTTGGAGAAAGGAGAAATAAATTTCTCTGAACTCTTGACAGATGCCACGCTCACTTTCTAAACATAAAGGTGTGATTTCTCAGCCAATTATATTTAGTCGAGCTAAATGTTTATAACATGAAAAAAAGCACTTTTAAAAATACATTCTCTTAACACTTATTTTAAAATTGGCACAAAGAATTATATAGAGAAGTAGTCAAACTGCTCTTAGCATTGTTGCTGCTTTTGCCCTTACCAGTTTAGTGATGTTTCTAACCTAGAAATACATTAGTTAGGTAGACAGTTGCATGGTATTTAGGTTTTCGTTTTATATTTTACTTAATTATGTGTTTTTTATGTTTTAAGACATAATTATGTTTTTATTTATATTTACGGTTTAATAATTTCTTTATATATATGCCAATGCCTCCTCGGTTCACAAGGATTAGTGTATTATGTGAATGCCACCACCGAGGGCTAATGTTTCTCTGCCCACTATACTGTAATATTGGCTGAGGATGTCCATTGATGTGTGTTGCAATAAATAACAATGCTAGATGACAGGAAAGGATAATAAAAGATTAAAATATATTATATGTGAAAATTTAAAAACATGCAATTAAGAATATAATGTAAAGAAGATGTTTTACAGTTATTTGACAAAATATTAAAAGGTATGTACATTTTTCCTGTCTTAATTTTAAACATTTCATTGTACTATACTATAGTATAAGTTGATACTTATACCATAGTATACCTAAACAAAGAACCCAGCATAAACAAACGAAAAATCAAGGAATCCATCTTAATTGAACAAAACAACCCTACTCT